GTGGCCGCCGCTGCCTCTCTTCCCAGCTCCATGCTGCCCGGGCCCAAGCTGCCCCCCTTCAGAGGCCGGGATGCCTCGGGCTGCTCGGCTTCTGCACCCCGCCCCCCCCCCGCAGGGAAAAGCGGGCCAGTCCGGCAAGGGGTTGGGGAGAGGGCAGCCCCCTACCTGCGCTGGCTGGCAGGGCGACTCGCTCCTGCCGTCCTCTTGGGGCTCCGTCGGCAGCCTGCCGAACCGGTTGGGGATCCCCAGCCCTTCGCCTCGCCTCGCCTCCCCTGGAGAGCCTCCAAGGCCGGCGGCAGCGGGGCAAGCCCAGAGCAGCATGCCTGCCCAGGCCGGGCCTCCCTGGCCGCCCACGGCACTGGGATCGTGCTGGCTGCTTCTGCCGCAGCACGACACGTAGGGCTGCCCCAGTCAAATTCCCCCCCTTCCCCACCCCAGGATCACGGAAACGGGGTTGGAAGGGGCCCACAAGGCCACCAAGTCCAACCCCCGCTGAGGGCAGAATGCCTCCCGGATGGGGAAATCCACCGCCCCCCCCCCGCGAGTGCAGCCCGGACTGCACTGCTGGTAACCTGAGCCCATCAGTCCACATGCTGCGCTCTGGGGTGATGCAGATCTTGGCCTCCTTTGCATGGCCCCCTTGCCAGGGCTTGAAGGATGTTAAGACCTCTCTCCCTCATCTTCTCAAGGCAACCATAGGCTTCATTAGGAAAGGCGGGGGGGGGCAGCCACCACCAGGGACCTCCCTGGCCCCCACGCAAGACGGCACTCCGCAAGGGAACATGGCACAGGCAACCCGAGGCAGAAAATGGAGCTGTATTGGATCCGAAACAGTCTAATTCACGTTCCCGCGTTTGGTGGGGCGGCTGAGAGGAGGGGGTGGGGGAATTCCCACTCTGTGCAGTGGCAGAGAACCCCAGCCTCTGCCCCGCTCCCCCACCCCCCAAGTCTGCTGAATCTGCTCCTGGCAGCCAAGAGGTGCCGGGTGGCCGACATGCAGGCAGCCCTGAGAAGAAACCTTTGCCGTCAAGGAGTCCCCCAGCAGGGGGTGGCGCCAGCATCCGCACAGGGATGTGACACGCCAGCCTTCCCTCTCCTCTTCCAGACCGCGGGGGATGGAGGAGAGGCGCCGAAGGCTGGCTGGAGTCCGCACATCTCCTGTGGAAAGCCGCAGGCGGTCCGTCCGGCCGAGGAAGAGCCGGCCCCCTTCCGCAGCCCGGCGTCCATGCCCCACGCAGAAAAGCGGGCCGCCCGGCACGTTCCTCACAGGGAGGGCTGTGGGGAGGCGGGCACCAGGGCCTGGGCCCCGTTGGCCTTGGCGAGGAAGGCGGTGGCGGCCGTGGTGCCCGCGCTGCCGGGCCCGGGGGGGCTGTCGCTGCGTTCCTGCTTGATGCCGCCGGCAGAGAGCGCCAGGCCAGGTGGCGCCGAGGAGGGGGAGAGCTGGGCAGCCCCCGCCTTGCCCTCCGCGGCCGACGGCAGAGAGACCATGATGTACTTCTGCAGGTTGCCCGAGACGGGGGGGCTGGGGGCCGCCTGCCCCCCCGGAACCAGCTTCACCAGGGGCTGCATGCTGGGCACGGTGGTGGTGACGGGGGAGGTGGAGGTGGCCGCAGGGCTGCCGCTGAGGGTGATCACCTGCGTGGGGGAGAAAGCCAGCCGGTGAGGGTCCCCCAGAGAAGCAGCAGCTTCCCTCGCAACCCCACCGCCCCCCCCGAAGCGGCCCCGACCGTTCCGCCCCGTACCTGCTGGGAGGTCGACGTGCCCGAGGTGGAGGACATGACGATGAACTTGGTGGGGGGGGGCGACGGCTGCGTCGGGGTGGCCGGGCGGGCCGAGACGAGGGTCTGCATGGGCAGCGTGATGGAGCTGGACATCTTGAGGATGCCGGGGGCACGCGAGGCACTGCTGCCCCCTCCCTGGGGGGCCTGGGACAGCGTCAGCGTTGGACGGGGCTGGGGAGAGAGGGGGAGGCCAAGCTGGGGAGGCACCTTCTGAGGAGGGGGGCAGCCCCGCCCGGCCCTGGGGGCTGGGGGGCTCTACGCCCCGCCGGGCTCCCACTGGCCAGACTGGCCTGCCCGCTCGCCAGCCTGAGGGCAATCCTGGGGAGGGGGCGCCATTACCTGGGTGATGGTGAGGGTCGTGCGGTTCACCTGCTGGGCCTGCAGGGCAGCCTGGGCCCGGGCCTTGACCACGTGGGTGCAGAGGAGGGTGCCCAAGGCCCCATACTCCACCCGGTAGGCCTCCTGGTTGTCCGGTGGGGGGCGCAGCTTGGCCAGGACTGGTGCACAGTGCTTCTGCAGGGGGTGCAGGAAGGGAAGGGAAGGGAAACGGGAGCTAAAGGACCAGAAAGCGGAAAAGTCGCACCAAGGGCAGCCCCTCTCCCGCCAGGACCCTGCCCCCATTTCTCCCCCCATCCTGCGTCCCCGAGAGGAGCTGCAAGCAGGTTGCTTTGCACCCCTCCTCGTGCAGGAAAGGTCCTTTGAGCTGGGCTGTCTGGGTGGACGGCGGGCCCAGCCGGCGCCGTGGATCAGGGACTCGGGCACACCTCTGCGGCGCGCCCCGCGTACCAGCAGGAGACTCTGGACACGATCGGCTCCAGTCTTGTCGATATTGCTGACCACGGGCCCCTCGAGCACGGCGCGGACACGCTCTCCCTCCACCTGCAGCCGGGGCAGGATCAGCGTCTTGATCACCTGCGGGGCAGAAGACGTGCCAGGGAGGCGGGAGCTGTGCCACAGGCCCCCCGGTGCCTCCCGGCGCTACTCACGTCGTGCCCCAGCTCGGCCAAGCCGGCGATCGAGCCGTACCGGGTCGTCCACGGCGTCTTCTCGTCCACCCAGCTCTGGGGGAGAAACGGGGGGGGGGGGTTGGCGTGAGGGGGAGCAGAGGGCCCTTGGCAGAGGCCCCCTCGTGCTGGACCCCCCGCGTCACCTTGGTGAAGGTCTTGGTGATGCGCGACTGGATGTTGTTGGTGGTGGTGCTGAAGTTCTTGCAGATCTGGGCGATGAGGCGGGCCGCGAAGTCCCGCAGGGCCCAGTGGTTGTCCACATCCGGCCGGAGGCACAGCTGCCGGCTCACGATGCAGGTCATCACGGCGGGGATCAGCTCGTGCAGCTGCAGTCGGGCGGGAGAGGGCCAGGCCGGTCAGCGCCGGCGGCCCCCCGCCCCCCCCGCCCCGCCCGGCCCCGCCCGGCAGCGCCCGCGCGCCCCCCCCCCCCCCCCCCAGGCCAGGCTGGTCAGCGCCGGCGGCCCCACGCCCCCCCCCGCCGGGCCCAGGGCAGCCGCTCACGTATTTCTCCAGGTAGAGGGTGGGGTTGTCCATCAGAGCTTTGACCATCCGCATGAGATAGATGAGCAGGGCCAGGTTGTTCTGCACGACATTCACTCGCACCTGCAGCGGACAGCGGGGGACGCGACACCATCACCGCGCGTCGGCTGCCTCCCTCGGCTCGTGCCGGGCACGCCCGGGCACGGCCGGCCGGGGCCGGGTCAGACCCGATGGCCTCGGGAGGCCCCCTCCGCCTCGCTGTTTCTGTTGCTACGTGGCTCTTCTTTCTGACCTAGCTGGTAGTTCTCCCGCGTTTCAGTCGAAACAGAAGCAAAGCCAGACACTGTCCTACAATTCCTTAGTGCCGTTGTCCCAGCCGTCTTGGCACCAGGGCCCGGTTGCGTGGAAAACCATTTCCCCATGGAGCCGGAGGGTGGGGTGGGCTCAGGGTGATTCAAGTGCCTCACCGTTTAGTGTGCACGTTGTTCCCATTCCTATTACTTTGCAATATATAATGAAATACACAGCTCACCGTGAAGCGGAATCGGCGAGAGCCGAGCCCTTGCCTGCTGCCCAGTCCCCTCGCTGCTTGCAGGCGCCCACCCAGCCTCTCCGCGTGGCTCTGCCGCCGCCGCCGCCGCTCCCTGCCCCTTCCGAGGCCCAAGACCCAACAGGGCCCCGGTGACAACCCGCCTTTGCCGCTGCGCCACCGGAGCGATGCCGGCGCTGGCGGGCAGCTGCAGGTACAGGTGCAGCGTCACCCACTCGACTGCCGTCCACCCCCTGCTGCGCAGCCCGGAGCCTCACAAGCCGCAGACTGGTACCAGCGCACGGTCCGGGGCTTGGGGCCCCCGCCTTAGCAGTCTATTCATGCCTGAAGTGTTTTATGTCCACATCCAGGATAATTAGGCATTTCAGCTAGTTAGAAGGTGTGTCCTTAATTGATAGTTATACGTATATACCCAGGTGCTGCTGAAGAACAGATTTTACTCCCAAAACATACTGGCATGATAAACTGATTTAGATACAGGTAGTCCCCAAGCTCTGAACCTGAGTTACCAACAACCTGTCCTTACAAACAAACTGCCATAAACTCCATTCATAGAAGAAAGCAAAAGGGGAGGGAGGCCTCCAAATCTTGCCCTCCTGCCCTGCCTGTCTAGAGGGAAATCCTGCTGGCATTTCCTTGTTGCAGTGAGTTGGGGGGAGGGGAGGGGAGGGGACTAGAGAGGCCCCCTGTTCCTTCCATTTTCACAAGTGTCTTGTGCCCCGACCCCTGCAGCTGCGAAGGGCCAACTACACACGATTCGTGGAACATAAGGATGGATTTCCGTTTTCTCAGAAATGGAACACATTCGGAACTACCTGTAGTTTGCAGACTGTTCCTTGTTTTCTCCTCTACTCAGTGTCTCCCTATATCTTAGGAAAGGGCCGGGACAAAGGACAAAGTCTTAGAAAGCGCCAACAGGAAGATAAATTAGAAAAATATTCCTGGAAGATTTATGACACCGAGAAGGTCAGAGAAGTCCGTAAAATGCAATTGGGATATACAGTAAAAGCAAAGGGAGAGGACAGCACCAGCGGCCTGGGTCGGGCCTCGCGCTCGGAATGAAGAACACCCGGCACAGGCTGCCCAGGCGACACCACGCAAGGGGCCGCTGCCATGAGTGATGATAAATTCTGCAGCGCGATAAGGTGCTTCTGGGGGGTTTTATGTCCTCCTCCCTATGCCCCCGAATGTTTTGCAACTCTGCGCCACACGTCACACTCGGTAACTCCTCTACTTGTTTGCGCTGCAGGGAGAGTGCATTTGTGGCTTAGGGGATTTTCAAGCAGGAGACTTGCTGACACAAAGCCTCTGCCAGACTTTGAGAAAGTAGCGCTTCTCTAAGCATGAAGAGTCTGGAGACACTGGAAGCCCTGGCATCCCCGTGGGCTGAGGGCAGACGGAGCTGACTCCAGGTAAGGAAGGGGGTGGTGTGGCGGGAGCAAGATCTCCTGCTTCACCTGCCCGGAGTTGCGTGTGGGTGAACGAAGCCCAGGCCACCTGTGGACCCAGCAGCCAAGGTCCAGAAAGCACAGCCATGCCGGGGCGTGACCTGCACTTCCAGTGAGCCTGGAAGACGCAGCCACCGAGGTTGCCGCCAGGGAGGGCTCATTCTTCCCACACCCAAAAGAAGACACCGCTGGAGCGAAACCGACATTCTCAGGGCAAGGGGCCACCCCCCCACCGCTTACCCCTTCCGAGATGAAGGTGCTGAACCGCGGCAGCATCTGGTACAAGCCGGGGTCGGTGGCGATGCTCTGGAGGGCCTCCTGTGGGAAGAACGGAGGGGGTGACGCTGCAGCTTCCTCGCGGCTTGGGGGATTGGGCGGAAGAGGGGACGGCGATGGCGCTGGTGCCTCGGGCGCACAGGCCCGGAGGCCTGTTGAGTGTGCGTGTGCGCAGGGGACGGGTGTGGAGAGGGCCAAAGGCAGGTGCCTCTCTGCTAGAGGGTGGGGGAGCTCAGCACAACTTGGCTAGGCACGAGGCTGTGGGGGGCGGGGCGCAGGGGCGGGAGGAGGTGGGATTCGGGCCGCAAGGGGCGGGTAGGCCGGGCTCCTCACCGCCCGCTTTGCCTCGCAGGAGCCCACGCAGGCCTCGGTGATCTCCTTGTAGTACAGCTGCTGCTCCACGGAGAGCTCGTGGATGCTGCGTGGCTTCAGCTTCAGGGGCGCCCCCTCCAAAAGAGGGGCTTTCTTTTCTTTTCCTGGGGAGGAGAGAGGACGAGCAGGGAGCATTACGGGATGATGCTCGTAACGCACCCTCCCAGCCTGCTCCTTCCAACACGCACTGCGTCGTCCTGAGGTCTGCCCGCAAGTGGCTTCAAAGTGCCAGACGGTGCAAGAGTTTGCTTGCGGGAAAACAAACGAGAACCAACATGCGGAGGTGGAACGAGAGATTCAGGCCACAGCGTCGCCAGCCAGCGTGATTTCTCCCCGGGACAGGGGGTGCATGAAACGGCGCTTTGCACACTCCCTGCACGGAATCCCACTGCCTTTCCCAGGCGCCCGGGTGTGACCAGTGGATGCGCAGATGCTAAACAAGCGCACCCTGTGGGGCACACCACCTGGGGGGCGGGAAAGTACGTACCGCCTCAGCTCTCACCCCCCGACCCCCCCCAAGACCTCGGCATGCCTGACCTTTGCCCTCTGGTGGCGTGGCACTGCGCCCTTTGCCTTTGAGGGCACCTTCATCCTCCTGGCCAGGCTTGGTGGCCTTCAGGGGCTCCGTGGCCTCGGCCTTCTGCTGCTCCTTGGGGGCTGTGGAGAAGAGAGAGACCGGCTGAGTCCCACAGCCAACCCGCTCTTGCCGGGGGCAGAGGCCCTGCTCACGAGGAGCCCTCCTCGCGCTGGCACAGTAGATTGCCTTCAGCCCGGAAGAGAAACTCGGAAGGTGAAGACCAGGGCTCGCCACTCACCTGGCGGGGGGTTTTCTGGGATGGCAGGTTGGACCCCTTCTATGCTGAGCCAGTGTGCTGCCAAAATGTAAACAAAAACGGAACACCTCAGACAGATGCACGTTTCAAGGCCCCGAACCAGCCGCTGATGAGCCACCCAAGAGCCCCCAGGCCCCCACGCTGCACAGAGGGGTTGGATTCGTGGCCTCAAGCACAAAGACAAAACGTTCAGAGCCCGGGAAGAAAAGGACCCCGCCCCCATGGATGCTAGCCCTACACGGAAACACCCCGCTTCCCTTTTGGGGTACACTGGGGCTTCCAGACACCACTGGCAGAATGAGGGACTGTGCCCAGAGGCAGCCCATGGGCTTGGCCCCAGCGATGTGGAACACGGCCCTTTCCGCAGGGTCACCATCCAGTTTAGGGCGACCCCCAAAGAGCAGAACAAGAAGCTGCTGCCACAGCCTTGGAGGGCCCACAGCATCCCTTCTGGCTCACAGCAACGGCCCTCTAGGGCCACTGCTAGGGCCAGCGGCGCGACACACACACGCTCATTCCTGCCATTGCTCGGCTGGCATGGGGGCACTCCAAGTCTGCTCTGAAAGAATCCAAGACGCTTTCATGCTGCAATTCTACACTCTCCCACATATTTGCTGGGACATTACAAGCCTTGTTTCCCCAGGATCGAGGGGCCTGTTTTCTTGCTTTGTATTCTGGAGACGATTATGCTTGAACCCAGGAGCACCTCCCAGGATGGAGGAGTCCCACCTGCCCCACCGCCGGCCAGGCCTTCGGGCAGGTCAGGAAGGCCATCGCAACACCTCCTTACCCTTGAGGCAGACATCGAGGGGGACGCGGGGGAGGGGTGTGTTGATGATGTCACTCAGGTCCACTTCCTTCTCCTCGTAGAAGTAGAGCTCGCGGCCCCCGCCACTGGCGTAACGGAACGGGATGAACTCCTGCGTGTGGAACCCGTACAGCGGCTGCAACGGGGCCCGGGACAGAGAAGGGAAGAGGTGAAGGACGGAGGGCAGCGGCATCACGCAGGGGCCTGCGCTAGCCCAGTCCGCCACCCTTGGAAGTTCCAGAGATGAGCCCAGACCTGCCAGCGTTCCCTAGAGAAAAGGGCTAACCACTGGCAGCCCGAGTCCTCCCAGCTGCCTCCCCCAGTGCTGTTTTTCTACCAGGCATTTGGGGCAACTGCCATGCCCCCCTCCCCCCACACAGCCTCTGCCCATCAACAAAAGCGTTCAGGGGACAGCTCTCTCCCCAGCCGGGAGCAAACTGGGGGGCCGTGCTCACCTCGACGTTCTTCAGCTTGAGAGCACAGTCAATGTCTCCAGTTGTGAGACTTCGCCGCTTCCCCATCCGCATGAATTTCAGTGCATCCTGGAGATGGAGGGGGAGAGCACAGATGCGGCAGGGAACAAGGGAGGAGGTCCCCACAGGCCCAGACAGAGCAAATGCCCCAACAGCGGACCTGGGAGGGGGAAGGGGGAGGGGCGCTGGGGGTGTCCCCCAAGAGGCTTCGCCTCCCTCACCCTCCTCACCTGGGCAATCTCTTTGATGCGGTAGCTGACTTCATCGGCGAGGAGCTGGCAGGTTTCCTCGGGCACCTGCCCGATGCCCATCGACTCGGCCATGGCCTTCATGGACTCTGTCGGCAGCTGCGTGCTGCTCACCTTCAGCTTCTTCTCCTCGGCCATGCTGACGAGGGAAGCAGCCACTCCCACCAGCTCAGCAGGGAGGCGACAGGGAACCTGCACCCAGGAGCAGAGACGGCACGGCTGGGCTGACAGCTGCCTTCCACACCAGCAGCGCCACACAAGCGCCGGGCCTGGAGCACCAGCTTGGCAACCTTCCCGGCACACCTTCCTCCCTTCCTGCGTATTTCAAGGGAGCTTCACGTTGGTGGTCTCGTCACTTACACAACTTGGCCTTTCATCACTGACAGTTTCGACACTGGTCCAACGTATTCTACATTTCGTGCATGTTTCACATGCTACAGTGTCTTTCCCCACCCAATCGAGTTGCCCTTCGCGGTTATAGTTTTGAGAAAGCCCGGAATAAGGGCGATGGTGGCTGATGCGCGCAATGGGCGCCCTAGCCTCTGGCCGCTAGTCCTGGGGACCGTGGGCGCCTCCAGCAGCCGCACCGGCTCGCCAAGTGGCCGCCGCGCTCTCTCCGGCGGGTGGGGCTCCCAGGGCGGCTGGAGGCGCCGCGGGAGCCGCCGCCACCCCGATCCGGCGTCGGGGCCACGCCGGGGCCCCCCCGGGCTGGACCGCGGGCCAGCGGCCGCCCCGCCGGGGCGGAGGGCTCCCGCGAGGACTCACCGCGGGGCAGGGCGGCCGCGGGGGCGCCTCCGCGGGCACGCGGCAGCCGACCCTCGGTGAAGTCACGTCTCATACGGCGCCGGGCCCGCCCGGAAGTCGTCACGACGGGGGCCCGCAAGCCGGCGGAGCGGCCCGGGCCCTGTCCGCAGTCTAGTCCCCCCTCCGGGCCCCCGAGGCTCGAGGCGCATGCGCAGCCTCCTCCGACGCGCCGGGCGCTCGGAGGGCCGGAAGCCGAAAGCAGGGAGGCGCGCGGTCCTAGAGCGGCGCGGGGAGGCGGCCTCTGCACTTCCGGCGTGGCGGCCTTGCCCGGAGGCGGCTTGGCCCGTGCGTGGGCCTTGCGCCGGCTGCTCCCGGGAGCCGGCGGGACCTGCTCCTGCCTGGGGCGGGCAGCGCCGCAGCCTCCGAGGCCCCGGACCCGCCCGCGCGGGTCACCCACGGCGCGGGCAGAAGCTGGCCGACATCGCAGGGCGGTCGTGAGTCGTGCCGCGCGCAGCCGCAGCGCTTGCGGCGCGGAGACAGCACGGGCGGCGGGCTTGTTGGCGATCGGCACCCGCAAAGCGCTCGCGGCTCAGGCCGAGCTCGCATCACCCTCTGCCTTCGGAGGAGGCGGGAGCGACGCCCCTTTGGCAGGATTTGGTAAATGAGGGACGAATGGGAAGACGGGCGAGCCCCAGATCGAGGCAGGGGCACCGATGGGCCACGGGGATTCTTCCCCGCTCTGGGGCGCCTGCAGCCTGCCCTCTGGGTGAGGCCCTGGGCGGCATGGGGTGCGTGGGCAGCATTGCAGAAGGTTTCCCCAGACTGGTTTGTGGGGGGAAATCTCGGGTGGCCTGATGGAGCAGGCAAGGACCTAGCCCTGGCTTTCTGATCCAGCTCCCCCTTTTCTTCCCTAAAGGTGTTCTGCTTGCCCTTCCAGAAGCTTTTGGATGCCGCTGCCTCGACCTCCAAACCCTGCAGGTTCAGGCCTGGACAGAGCTCTTTCCCAGAGCACCTTGACTCCCCAGCAGAGACTCTAGCTGCCAGTCCCCACTCCTCTGGAGCTGCCTGCCCTGTTCACCATGGCCTGCTGCTCACCACCCACGAACCCTTCCAGGCCACAGAGCGCTCCCCTCGTGGGGCCCGTCATCGCTGGCTCCCCCTATTCAGTGGTGGTCTTGCAAGAGGGCTACTCTGTGCGGCTGCCCGATGGCAGCACCCGGGCAGATGGGACAATCTCGCTGGTGCTGGGGCCCCACCTTACCCTGGTGGACACGGGTGGGCCATGGAGCCGGGAGCGGCTGCTGGAGGGCTTGGCCAAGCAAGGCGTGTCCCCAGGGGACATCCGACATGTTGTCTGCACGCACGGCCACTCTGACCACGTGGGCAACCTCAATCTCTTTCCCCAGGCAGGGCTGATTGTGGGCACGGACGTCAGCCAGCCTGGTGGGCGCTACCTCCCCACGGGATTGCCGCAGGGCGTCCCCTATCCCCTCCACGCAGGGCACCTGGAAGTGCTGCCCACGCCTGGCCATACGGGGAACGATGTCAGCTTGATGGTGCGGGGCACCGCTCAGGGGAACGTCTTGGTGGCTGGAGACCTTTTTGAGTGTCGGGATGATGAGGGAGAGTGGCAGTCTCTCAGTGAGCACCCAGCGCGTCAGGCAGAAAGCCGGGCGCATGCTCTGTGCATTGCTGACATCATTGTGCCTGGCCATGGGGCACCATTCCGGGTCTTCCGGCAGGGAATCGAGCGTCCTGTGGGTCAGGAGGGGGTGTGTCTGGATGATCTCTACGGGTCAGCAAAGACCTGCAGACCTCTTTGTGCCCAACTAATGCAAAGCGCCAATAAAAGGTGAGAAATTGAAGCAAAGTGTTTTTTATTATTATTATTTTACAAAATATGATTCAGCTAAAAGAAAATCATACAATTAAAACCTTTGTATAACAAAACCATGCAGCCTACCACTGGAACCATGGCACCGGATCGTTTGCTCTTTCAAGAAGCTCCACCCACCTTCCAAAACGGCAATGACGCTCACGGAGGTTCAACTCCTTTCCCTTTTGTTAGCACATACTCAATAAATGGTCCCCAAATGTCATTAAAATTATTCTTATATAGCCTTTTTCATTTAAATATCACAAGCTAATTTACATTAATAGCTATATTCCAAACTTCTCTGTATCAATCATTCAACTGATAATCATCTTTTGCTTTCCAACTCTTTGCTCTTGTTAATACATTTGTTATTCTTTAATATTCCATCTCCACTGTTCTCTATCAAATATTGACAGTATTGTGATTTCAGGATTTACTTCAATATTTAAATTGAGCACTTCACTGCTCTCTTTCAAAACCTCTTTCTAAAATTTCATTATATATTCATATTCCCAGCACATATGGAAATATGTACCCACTCCCCAACCACACAAGTTAGAATATTTGCTATCCATATGATTCAGTTTTCCCAGGGTTAGGTACTATTTCCATGCTAGTTCATTAAAAGTTCCCTTTATTTTTACTGACCTGCATTTTAATATTCTCTCTTGTCTCACACATTTTTCCAAATTTCATTGCTAAAAACATATGAATTTTACATATGAAAGTTAATCTACATATTGTCTTGTATTGCCATTTGAACTATCATATATTCAAATTTAGTATAATCTCTGCATTTACCCTTTTTCTTCAACCAGTTCTTAGGCCAACATTCTAATTGAATCACATTAAAGCAAGCTAATGAACTATTAGGTGGATCCAACTATAAGACTACTAGGAGGATCCAAAATCGGCTGCTAAATCGATCACAAAGAGTGCTCATCAAGGGCACCTTCTCAAATTGGATGGAGGTAACTAGTGGGGTGCCTCAGGGTTCAGTCCTGGGCCCGGTGCTCTTTGACATCTTCATTAATGATTGAGATGAGGAAGTACAAGGAAAGAGAATCAAATTTGCAGGTGAAATAAAACTGGGTGGAATAGCCAACACCCTGGGAGACAGGATGAGGATCCATGGCGATCTTAATAAACTTGAACACTGGGCTCAAGCGACGGAATGAGATTCAGTAAGGACAAGTGCCAAGTTCTTCACCTAGGAAAGAGAAATCAAACACATTGATACAAGATGGGGAACATGTGGCTCAACAGAACTGAACAAGAAAAAGATCTCGGAGTAATTGTGCACAATAGGCTAAACGTGAGCCAACAATGCGATGCAGCCACCAAAAGGGCAAATGCTCTTTTGGGATGTATTAATAGAAGCATTACTTCCAAATCATGAGAAATAGTAGTTCCCCCATACTCCTCACTAGTCAGACCTCATCTGGAACACTGTTCAGTTCTGGGCACCAAGATTTAAGAAAGATGCAGAAAGATTAAAAAGGGTCCAGAGGAGGGTGACAGAAAGGATCCAGGGATTGGAAACGCTGCCCTGTGGGGAGAGACTGAGAGAACTGGGCATGTTCAGCCTTGAGAAGGGAAGACTGAGGGGGGACATGAATCCCTCTATAAGTACCTGAAAGTCTGTCACAAAGAGGAAGGTCAAGATCTCTTGCTGATGCCAGAGTGCAGGACACAGAATAATCAAGTCAAGCTGCGGCAACCCAGATTCAGGCTGGACATCAGGAAAAGCTTCCTCACCGTCAGAGCAACAGGGCAGTGGGACCAGCTGCCTGGAGAGGTGGGGGCTCCCCCACACTGGAGACATTCAGAAAGAACCTGGGCAGCCCTCTGAGTGGGATGGTGCAACTTGGTGTCTTGCAACAGCAGGGGGGTGGACCTGATGGCCTTCTTGGCCCCTTCCAACTCTACTATGATTCCATGAAAGCTCGTGCTGCTGGTCATTTGGAAGATGGGTCCATGCATAGAGACTCGGCCTGTGCCGGGTGGGGTCACAACCACAGGGCCACAGCGTGGGGAACGTCTGGGCTCAATGCAGTTAAAACTAGTGTGCCAGCTGTGCCCCTTCCTGGAGATACCCGATTTGGCTAGAGGGGCACCTGCCTTCCCAGTGGATGTCTGTAACATGTTGTACGTCTGGAAGAGTGTTTGGAAGCTCCGGCCGGTCCAGGGAGCTGCTGCCCGACGGCTGGCGGGACCGGCTGCCGGGCGCACGCGGCTGCTTTGCTGAAGCCGCTTCCCTGGCTCCCCGTCTGCTTCCGGGCTCAGGGCAGAGTGCGGCCCACGGCCCATAAAGCCCAGTATGGCCGGGGCCCAGGCCCTCCGAAGGGCTCTTCTCCCTTATGAACCTTCCTGTAGAAATTTTTAACATTTCTATTCATGTTTTAACAGTACAAGTTTTTAATGTAAGTTGCTTTGGGAACAGGTGGAATATCATTATCAATATAATAATAAAGTATATGGATATTTGGCCTGCTTTTACTACATAGCACTTTTATGTATTTTAATATTGTCACACACACATTCACATAAGTGATTCGTTTCAGTTCATGCAAGAAAAAAAGTATTTTTTTGCTTCCTTGTGGATTTGTTTTGCTTTCCTGACATTCATGGTGCAATTTTATTTCAGTTGCCCAGTGGCGTTCAGGCCAAAGGTGGGGTTTATGAGCCCTGCGAAGGGCACAGCACGGGGCTGATGGGCGGGATGTGCGGTTATCTCCTACCCGGCTTTGCGTCACGGATCGGGCGCTGCCCGTCCAGGGACAAAGCCTCTCACCTCTCCGCCTGGAAGCCTGTTCTTTGCACGGCTCCGCTCACTCCGCACTGCTGCCATGTGCACGGGGAAGTGCTCCAAGGTGGTAGGGGCAGCTCTGTGGCCTTTCGCCCTCCTGTGCATCACGGTCAACATTCTGCTCGCCTTCCCGGACTGGAAGACCGAGTATGTCCACGACTGGGGCAGCCACCTGACGCCGGAGGTGCTCTACCTGGGGGGGCTCGTTGGAGGCGGTGTGATGGTGAGCAGCCCGTGGGGGCGCACGACCGGAGGGCGGTGGGGCCCCCTCGACGAGCCAGGCTCTGCGTCATCTACAGCACCTCCGAGGCCTGCCAAAGCTTTTTGGCGGCCTCTCCTTCCCTGGCCAGGAGACGCCTCCCCGTGCACAGCTCAAGCCCAGGAGGGGCGAGCCCAGGAGGGGCGACTGTGCTTGGCGTCGCCTATAGCGGGGCAGTGAGGGGTGGGGGACATGTAAGGGGAAGAGGTCTGCAAAGCAACGCTCACGCACTTGCACGGTGGGCCGGGCCGGCCCGCTCAGGCTGTGGGCTGGGAATGGGTGTCTCCCCAACCCATCTGGGGGGCCCTGTTCAGCCCTCCCCCCCCCGAGTTACACCGCGGACCCAGTGAGGCACAGGAGGCAGGTGTGTCAGGCGGGAGGGCCTGGCCTGCCGAGCGTGGGCTGCAGCCGGCTTTTTGTCTCCGCAGGTGCTGGTGCCGGCGGTCCACATCCAGGCGACGGGGAGCAACGGGTGCTGTGGGAACCGCTGTGGGGTGAGCCCGGGGGCCTCCACGCGCGGCGCCCCACCTGCCTCGGGACATCACGGGCTGAGCAGTGCCAGTCCAGGGGCACGTCTCTTCTTGCCTTGCCTATAAGGCTGCCTGCCCCGCTGAGCCCCACTCATTTTGGGGGGAGGGGAGATTTGGCAACCACCACAGGCACAGACAGACCTCGGCAGCTGGCGCTCCTGGGCGCACGTTGCTCTCAGGGCTGGGCCTTTGCCCCGCGGCTGGCGGACGGGGACTCGTGCTGCGCTGGTGGCAGGCAGTGGGTCCCCCCGATGGAGTGAGGGGCCTGTGATTCACCCCTCCCTTCTCCCCCCCCCGCCTGCTTCCAGATGTGCCTCTCGGTGCTGTTTGCAGTGATGGGGGTTGTGGGAGCCGTCTACGCTGTGGGGGTCTCCATGCTCGGCCTGGTGCACGGGCCACTCTGCAGGTACGAGGTAAACGGGACTTTGTCGGACTGGGGGCGCCCCTTTTTGGACAGCAAGGAGCCCTTCAGGTGAGTGGAGCGGTCCTGGGGGTGTGAGGCGGGAGGGTGGTTGGTGGAGGGGGGGAGAAGGGAGGTGGCGAGGCGGATTTGGGCATGTGGGAAGACTGAAAGCAGCTGGAGGGGGCCTCCCATGCCCGGCACCGCATGCCCTCCACGCGTGAGGCAACGCCTCACCCACCCTTTGGCCTCGCCTGACTCGGAGCTGCAGGGCCGCTGCAGTCCTGGCTGCTTCCTCTCGCGCCCGCCCGCTCGCCCGCCCGCCGCCTCCTGGGTTCCAGCGAGGCCAGGAGCGGGCACTCGGGTGCCCCAGAGTGGCAGCTCGGCCGTGCTTCTTCATCCCCCTGGAAGAGCCCACCTGCGGCACCTGCTGGCACTGGCTCCTGTCCGCCTGCCCCCCCCCCACCCACGGCCCCCCGGGACAGATCTCCCGGCCCCAAGGTCTCCCGTTCTTTTCTCCACCCGCCTTTGTTTCCCACCCGCCTGAGTCTGGAGAACCCAAAAGCGTATGTTTTGACTGGTCATAATAAAAAGGTGGCCTATGTATAGATTTTGGTATTTTCTCCAGCATTGTAGATTACTCCTCCCCCCCGCCTCCCCCAGCTTTGGGTAGCAACTTTAGGGGAATGTGTCCAGCTGGGTCTTGAGCTGCACTCCAGATACTGTGAAGTTTTCAGCTAGCTTGCAACTTTTCTTTGATTTCCTGCTCATATTTCCTGGGCTCACTCACCTCTTCCTGTCCCCACCCGGCTGTGGTATGTGACTCCTTCCACAGGCTCCAGAGTGAGATCTTTCGCTCTCTGTTTTGTAAAACCCAAATATACCATTAACTCTCTGTCCTGCCGAGCAAAGGAATGGAGGCAGGAATGGAAATGTTGCAACGGTTGTGGTTGTGTGTGATCGCGAGAAGGAAGCGGCTCCATGCAAGCATGAGAGTCATCGGTCACTTGGTGCTGGCTTGCGTTGGATGGCACAGCCAAGGACCGCTTCCCTTGCAGGAGGCTTCCAGAAGGAAGACAGGGCACAGCCCCCCACTGGAGAGAGCCCTCCCCCGCCCCACACCTGGGCAGGCAGGGCTGTTCCTCATCGCCTCCAAGATGCATTTATTCCAAGAGATCTGGGTGCGCCACTTTCTACCCTGAAAACCCCGGAGGCGGCTTGTGTTCACAAGCACAACTGAGCACAGCAGCAAACATCTCCGGCAAGGGAAACCAGCCTTGCAAAACCTTTCCGCAAGCACAGCAGGAAAGGGCCCAATAGCCCAGGAGCGCATTCAGTGGCCCCGCATGCTTGCCTTGTCTCCTGCACAACCCAGAGCTTCCCGCGTGTCCCGGCATCCCTGAGGCTAGAGGGCTTCCAGGGTTGGGGGGCACAAAAGCGGCGGGGGGAGCGGGCTCTCCTCTCACGGGCTGTTCTGCCGTCCCGGCAGCGAGCAGAGCTACCTCTTCGACACCAGCCTGTGGAACGTGTGCGTGGAGCCGCACGGCGTCATCCAGTTCAACGTGATCCTCTTCTCCCTGATGCTGTGCTCCGGCCTGGTGGAGCTGTGCCTCTGCATCACGCAGGTCTTCAACGGGTTCTTTGGCTGCATCTGCGGCACCTGCGCGGACAAGACAAGCAAGCACCCGGTGAGGAGCCGCCTGCCCTGGCGCTGCTCCTTCCCCGACCCTGAGGCGGGCGGCCGCGGTGGCCCCAGTCGCACGCCTGCTTGGCCAGGGGGAGCCCACGGGCCGCAGCCCCCCGAAGCCTGGCCTGTGGGCGGCAGAAGCCCCAGCCGGAAGGGCCATGCGGGGAGGGCCAGCGGGGGGTCCAGCCCAGTCCCTCAGGGGCCCCTGCAGGGCTCTGCCCGCCCTCTGGAGGAGGGGCGCCTCCCTGCTGTGGCCCTGAGCTGGGGCAGAGAAGAGGCACCCCTTGACCAGCGCTTCCTGGGAAGGGAGCTGAGCGACGCCTCTGCAGGGGTGGCTTAAAGCAGGAGGAGGCGGATGCTGGCCTGGGCCTTCGGGGCCAGTCCGCGGCTGCTTCTGAGCTGTCCTGTGACCGTTGAGGAAAGGCTGAGCGCTCGGCTGCCGGCGTTGCCGAGTGCGGCTCTTTGCAAAGCAAACTCCAACCGTGGGCAAGAGGCGCCTGCCAGTGCAGCCACGCGTCGACCCTGCTGGCTGGGAGCCGGGACCGCCACGCAGGGCCGTCGTTCTCCCTCGCTCCTGGGGCACCACTTCCCTGCAGAGTGGGGGCGTCCCTTCCCCTGACGCCAGAGTCACATCTGGGCTCCGTTTTGTCCTCTCCAGCAAACCTACCACTGATGCCATGAAGATCCCGAGCCAGCCCTGGAGCCCTCAGCCGCGCACCACCCGCCTGGGCCCCCGCTGGGCCCCCCCCCCTCCCTCAGCCGCCCAGCCCTCTCCTGGGGAGCGAGCACACACGGCAGCGCCGCCTCTGCATGTTGCAGCAATAAACCTCGCCCGCTGAACCTCCCCCCCACGGCTGCTTCTTGCTCTTTCCTGCCCCATCATGTGGCTCTGGAGGAAGAGCCGTGCAGGGCGCATAGCGGCTCTGGCTGGGGAGCGCTGGCCACCCTTCCAAGGAGGCCCGAGGCCGGGGTCCGCGGCTGCAGACGCCCCCTAGCAGTGCAGGCAAGCCCCCCGCCCCCACCCAAGCCGCAGCCGGGACTTTGCCCGGCGAGGCACACGGCCATCAGCCGGGCAGGAAGTGTGTTTGTGTGTGTGTGTGTGCGCGTGTGTGTGTGTGCGCGCGCAGGGCAGCACCCGCCTCGCTGGGGGGAGGAGTGTGGGGCCGGGAGGCTTCTGCCAGCTGAGCTGTCAGGCTGCGCTTCTGGGGGAGCCCCCGGTTGGTGGGGGTCCCTTGGCACGAGTAAGTAGGCGGCCCCGGCAACCTTCCCGCCAGGCCCCGGCTGGCCACCCTGCGCTGGCGGGCGCCCGCTGCAGCCGCACAGTCCGCAGGGCGTGGGGAGCAGGGGGTGGGGAGGGTCGCGTGCCTGGCCAGGGGCTGCGGTGGGGCAGGCGTGCAGGTGAGCCCCGAGGGCACTGGGAGGCGGGGGGGGCAGGCTGGCCACCTTGCTGGCAGCGGCCACTCCCGCAGCAGCCGGGAGAAAACCGGCCTGGGCCCCGCTCACCCCGCAGGAGGTGGGGCGCCCCCTTGGCGAGGCGCAGGGCAGCGCTTCGTGCCGGGCTCTGCCTCTCGCATCCCCTGGGCCACTTGGCGGCCGGCGGTGCGGGGGGGGGGCGTGCTCGCCGTGGTGCCCTGGTGCTGCCCTGCTGCCCCCTCGGAGGCCACGAGGGGTCCACTTGCCTCGGCACGGCAGAGAAGTCAGCCGAGGGACAGATCTGGGGCAGGGTCCAAGGAGGGAACGCCGCACACCGGGCCTCAGCCGGGCCCCGTGAGGAGTAACTGATGAGCAAGCTCCTGAGCACGTGAGGAGTGCCATGCTGCTGCAGACCCGGACTGGGGGAGCCTCCGGGCCGAGGGGTGCAGCCGTTTGCGGCAGTGGCGACAGCGGGAAAGGGGCTGCAGGAGCAGAGAGGAGGGAAGAGCACGCCTGCCCGGCGCTCGCCCCCGAACCGGCTCCCGCGGCCTCCCTTGGCCCACCGAGCACAGGCGGGAGGCCCTCCCCGTGGCCGAGCCCCTCAGCCAGTCCCCACGCATGGGGGGCCAGGCAGAGGGCTCCGAGCCTCCGCACCTCTCACCTGGGGGCTGGTGGCCGGGCATCAGACGGCCGCCGCCGCCGCCTGGGACCTCAGGCCTGCCAGCAGCCCTGTCCGAAGGGGAGGTGCGCGTACTCACCATGCAGAGGGCCGCCTCTTCCCTGCCGGGAGCCGGCATCCGCCTTCCTTACGGCGCTGCTCCCGGGGCACCATTGCGTGCCCACGTTTGGCTCCTCCATGCCAGTGGCACTTCCAGCAACGCTGCGGGGCATGGGGGTCGTCCAGCAGGAGGGGCCTGGCTGCCACCCCCCCAAGCAGTGGAGGGTGCCCTGAGCCACATCCCCAGCTGACTCAGGATGCCCCCTGCCCCCAGGCCGGCTATGCTCTGCATGAATTAGGCTGTGGGTTTCAAGGCAGGGGTCAGGGGTGCCCCAGCAGGCAAATCTTTGTGAGATGAGCTCCCCGGAGGCAGAATGGCTGAAGCGGTTCTGTGGAGGGCCGGTCGGCTCCATAGCCGACTCCCTGCCTTACAGGCAGAAGGTTTCGCTCCAGGCCCCAGCAGCGTCTCGCAGTCGGGAAAGGAAGGGACCCCAGGGAGCCACGGATGCCGGCCAGTGCTGACAACGGAGGGCCGGGGCGGGCGGGGCGGGCAGGCAGGTGCCCTCTGGCTCGTGAGCGCCCGGCGAACCCCGAAGCAGCAGCAGCAGCAGCAGCAGCAGCAGCAGCAGGACCTGTTCCGCTTCCTAGGCTGGGGGGGGACAGCCGGGACCCGGTGCCATCGGCACGGAGTGCATTTCCTCGCTGCTGAACGGCCGGCTGCACACAGACATAAAAACAAAGAAATGAGCGAGTCAGAAGGCTACCCCAGGCTATCTAGTCTGACCTCGTCTCCAGCCGGCTCCGCTCATGTGATGCAACATGTGGTTGCCAATCAGCCCAGCAGCTGCTGGCCCAGGAACATGGGAACGTGTCTGCTTCTGGAGCTGCTTGCTGCAGCTTCTCCAGGTCCAGGCCCACATTCACGTCCACAGCCCAGCTGCCTCCGCACGGGAGAGGCGGCGCCTTTTCTCACTGGGTCCCACAGTGCAGCCGGCCACGGCACCGGCTTGCGTGGCTGCTACCCCCTTCCCATACTGATGCTTTGCCCTTCTTTTCCCGTGCAAGCAACTCAAGGTGGTTGAGGTGGTGGTGCTCCTCTCTGCTCGATCGCCACAACAGTCCTGTGAGGTAGGTTAGGCTGAGAGTCAGTGGCCAGCCCAAAGTCGCTCGAGGGGCTGAAGCCCAGCCCCGCACCCCAAGCACTGCAGCACGCTGGCTCGGGGCGGGGGCAGCCCTCCGCATTTCCCGTCCTTCCCCTCCGTCGGACGGGCAGCATCCAGGGCCCTGGTCCTGCAAAGCCCAGCCTGGAGGCCATGAAATCACCTCCCCAGCAGCAGGTGGGGAGGCCGGGCTGCAACGGAGCGCAGGTGCCGTTAAGAGGCGAGCTCTGCCACAGGTGGGGGAAGGCGAGGCTCTGCCGAGGATGGTGCAGCCCCCCTCACTGCACGTCTCTGTCCCACTGCCCCCAGCAGCGATGCTGGAGGAGCAGCCCCTGCTGTCCTCGGCCAGCCCGGCCCTCCTGGTCGCCGCCGAAGAGCCCTCGTCCTTCGGGCACGGCATCCTGATGGGTGAGCATCTGCCGGCCCCCCCCCGCCTCCCCTCCCTCTCCAGGTCGCTCTGCCGCCGGTGCTCACCGCCTGCCAAACTCTCTCCTGCAGCTCTGGGCAAGGTCCTGTTTGCGGCGCTGCCTGTCGCCGGAATCGCCATCGGTGAGTGGTAAGAGCAGCAGTGCCCCCGCCCTGCTGCGGGATGGGGGCCGAGCGCCCCCGCAGCAAAGCTGCTCCCCCTCGCCTGGTGAGCTGCGTCCTGCCCACGCTGGCGCCCCTCTGGCCGGCTGGGGTGCCCTGCGCGGCCTCGGGGGCCCCGCAGCACGACCCCGGGGGGTTCTGTGGCGAGAGAAGGGCGGGGGAGCTGGGGGGTGGGCGCTGCAGGCCGCGTGGAGCGGGGACCCGGCCCGTCTCGCGTGGGAATGCGATGGGCGACGGCGCGCCTCAGAGCGCCCGGTGACTGGAGCTCCCCCCGCCCCTCCCCAGGGCTGGATTGCAGCTCTGGGCCTCCGTCCCCTGGCAGGGGCCCTTCCCTGCTCTGGAGAGGGCAGCTCTGCCGCGTCAGCACGTCCCGGAATGTCCCTTCCGGGAGGCTCGTGCCTGCCTCAGTTGCCCCTCTGTCCCTGTGGCGTGGGGCGCAGGCGTCCCCACCGGCTCCTGCACCGCTCTGCGGTGGAAGCCCAGACGGCGGGCCTTGCGGCTGACCGTCTGGCCGGGGTGCGGCTGCCCGCCTGTTTCCCTCTCAGGCGCGTGGCAGTCGCATGTCCCTGGCTGCCACCCTCCTTGCCAGGTGCTTCGAGCCACTAGTCCTGTGTCTGCCCCACAGGAAGCGGGGAGGGCGCTTTTCCTGGGCCCCGCAATCTAAGAGGTCCGTTGCTACCCCAGGGAAGGGTGCAGGGACACGGTCCTGGCCGGGATGGTTGTGGGGGAGGGATCAGCCGGGTGAGACAGCAGCTGCGGGGGCAGCAGGGGAGCCAGCCCGGCTCCATGTCCCTCTGTCCTCAGGGGCCACGTACCTGGGCCAGTGTCCCCGGCAGCCGCTCCTCCCCGTCTACCTGGTCGTCCTGGGCAGCGTGGTGCTGCTGCTGCTGCTCCTCAGCTGCACCCCCTGTGAGGACGGCACTGGCCAGCCCAGCGCCTGCGCCCGCTGCTGCCAGGGCTCCTGCATCCTCTTCCTCTTCTGCTGGTTCATTGCCGGTAAGGGGCCTTCTTCTTCCAGGCGCTCTGTTTGGTTGGGGTGCCGGCCGGCTCTCCCCTCCCCACCCCGACACAGCCCACGACAGCCCTGCCCAGCTTGCCCTCTCTCAGCCCCTTCGGGCTTGAGAAGTAGCACTTTCTGGTGGCCTGGCCCAGAGGCGGCCCTTCTGGCCCCCGGACCAAGCGGGTCCAGCCGTGTGTGGAGAGACGCGCTGCCCAGGGGAAGAGGGATGCTCTGTGGCCCGGGAGGTCTCCCTGGAGCACGGGGCCCCTTCCACCCGCGGCCACCTGCCTGTAGCCGCCCTGCGGCATGCGGCCCTGCTCGGCCTGCCAGCAGCCCAGGCCGGCGCTTCCGCATCAGGCTGCGGGGCAGAGCAAGTGCCGCTCGCCCCACGCGCTCCCTGGGCCCCCGGGAGACTCATGGACTTGGAGTGGGAGGGACGGGAGCCTGAAGCGACGGCCCGCCAGCAGCCTCCCATGGCAGGGCTGCCAGGCATGCCGCCTGCGGGCAACGGCTCTGTGGCCGGGTTGCCGGCGGGCCTCCTTGGCCCGATGAACCGGCCTCCACCAGCAGGCCCCCGAGCCCAGCAGCCACTGCTGCGCCCGAAGGTGTGCCTCGGAGCCGACGCTCTGGCTCGGCAGAAGGCCCTTCCAGCGTCTCGGTGGGGGGCCCCTCCGGCTAACCACTCCTCCTCCCGCTCCCCCTGCAACAGGCAACGTGTGGATCTACCCCATCTACCCGCCAGACTACGAGGACCCCGGCCACCCCCGCTTCTGCCAGCAAGTCCTCTTCCTCTTCGCGTTCGGCATCACCACCATGGTCCACGCCACCCTGGCTGTGGTGCTGTTGCTCACCCTCTGCATCCTTGCAGGCGTGTTTGGTGCTGTCCTGCCCTACGGTGGCCATGGCGATCGCGGGGGCCCATAGCTGTGGGGTGCTGTGTGTGTGTGTGGGGGGGGATAGCCAAGGGCCTTCGGTGTTGCTGGATTTTTTTTCTTAATAAAGCTGAAGCCACTAGACAGACTCCTTTCCTTTTCTGTCTTTGGGAGAAAGAGAGCCCCTAGGAAGCCCCATGAAACCCCACAGCTCCCCTGTAGGCTTGACCCTACCTTTTTCCCACAGTTGCCAACCCCTGAACTGTCACCAGTTTCGTCTCCCCCCCCCCCCATCCCCCCTGCTGCTCAAACTGCGCTCTTCCAGTCTTGGGAGATGTGCCTTAAAAGGGTTTGCAAGTCTCGGGACGGGGGGGGGGGGGAGCCCTGCAAGAGTGGCGGCTTAACTTGGGGCCCTGCACTGAGCAGAGGCTTGGACCCAGTGGCCCCCTGGCCCCTTCCAACTCTGCTGTCCCATGATTCTCTGAGAGGCTGGGACTAAAATGGGGGAAGGACATTTCCTGTCCACTGGCACGAAGGCTGTTGCCCTCTCTGCAGTGGGACACAGATAGCACCCCCCACCCCCGCTGAGCTGCCAGGCACCCTTGAACCCTCTGCCCACCCTTGCAATCCAGCTCCCAAGCTGTGCAAAACCACACAACCTCACCCACTGGGTACCTCTCCTGCCCAGCCTTGGCCTGTCCTCCAAAAGAGAAATACGAAGTTCTTCTAGCTTGGCACTATTATCTTCTGCTCAAGGAAAGACGGTGGCCCCCTCTGTAACTCTGCCCACCTCGCAGTCCACGTGCCACACCTGTGAGCTATCCCCACCTCTCTGGGGTGATCATTGTGCTCCCACAGATCTATCCGTGGCAAAGGTGGAGACTGATACATACCAGGCGGCTTACACATATACCAACAATTGTGCCAAACTAGCCTTCTGACTGGTCAGAATGCAGGTGCATCTGGAAGAGGAAAGCCTTCTGCCTGTGCAAATGTGGCAGATGGGGCAGTGCCAGCCTGTAGGGTGAAGGGGTGATAGACACCTGTGCCGCCTCCTAAATGCCCAAAAGGAGAGGGGCCATGGGTGCATCCAGAAGGGGATCCAAGGTAGTGAGGGAGAAAAAACAGCAACGTCACACAGGCCTTCCACTCTAGGTCAGTCCATACTTTACATAATTTTAAGACAGAAGTATTATTATTATTATTAGAACATTTCTAAGTACAATTTATTGCAGTCATCCTACAGATTAGGAACGTGTGCATGCAGTGAATCCCGTCTTTGGCCTCTGAGCGCCATGAGGAAATCCTCCCACTGATCTATCCTAGATCTCCCCACTACAAGAAACGCCCGTTGCAGCGGAGGCTGGGCAGGCGGAGGCCTTGCGCCCGTCCCACTTGCGGGATCCTGTGGGTGGCTGGCTTGCCACCGTGTGCACGGGGTGCTGCACTAGATGGGCCCTGCTCTGGTCCAGCAGGACTTCTCCCATGTTCCCACGTTCTTACGATGGCCTCTGGCATTCCAATGTCATGGGAGGGTGAAGGCTTCAGTTCTCTTTCTCCATCTCAGGCACCACTTTGTATGCCTCTGTCATGTCTCCCCCTGGTGTTTTCTCCTAAGCTAACCAGGCGCACATGGTGCAAGCTTTCTCCTGAGGGGAGCTGCTTCAGCCCTTTGTTTTTTTTAATTGCTCTTTCCTGTACTCCTTCCCGTTTTAAGGTGTGCTGACTAGAATGGGGCACCGTAGTCAAGCGCCACAGATCTGCATACGGGCACTATGATCATGAGAGTTTTGATTTTGATTCCTTTCTTTTTTGGCCATGGTTCACTGACTTTGAGCCAGTCACTCGTTCTCAGCCTAACCTACCTCACAGGCTTGTTGTTAGGATAAAACGGCGCTATATAAGTTCACAAGAGGAAAAAAGGTAGGATGTAAAGGCATCAACATCATCATCATGTGTGACTAGCTGGTTTTTGGAGCATTGCACACTGGGTCAGTTTTCATTAAGCTGATCACCCGGATCCGAAGGCCCAGTTCTTGGCCCAGATCTCATCTTTTGATCTCAACTGTTTTTGGTCTGGACTTTCTGAGAAGGGCTGTCAGGTACAGGACTTTATGGAGGGCTTTCACTGATAGGGATGCCAGCACTTAAATAGCAATCGTGATCATTGCGTGGCTGCCTGTTATCTCATCTTGTTACGTATTCTTTTGAAGGCCTTGCACGGCATCAGCGGCTGGGCGGTACAGAGGTGCAGTCAGAGAGCGCCCAGGAAGCGCCCGGCGGCCCGAGGAGGAGTCCCGGCGCCCTCTTGCCGTGAGCGCGCGGCAGCCCGTGCCCGCCCGGACCTTCAGGCCGCCGCCCCGCGGGTTTGCCGTGCGCGTGGAGGGGCCTCCGCACGCCGCCCCGGGCCCCTCGCAGGACGGGGCGAGGCCGGACGAAGCGCGCCGCGCCGCAGGCCACACGCGCTAAGCGCCCGGGCGGCCCGAGCGAGTCGTGCCCGCCGCTTCCGGCCTGGCCCGCAGTCCTAGAGCGGCCTTCCCCACAAGCGGCGGAGGCGGCCTAGAGCGGCCCCCATTTCCGCCGGAAGTCGCCCCGCGGGAGCGGCCGTTCGCCGCCCGTCCCCGAAGGAGGCCGCGCAGACATGGTAGGTAGCGGCGCGGCGGCCCCCGCGGGCGGCCGAGGGGGCCCGGGCGGGGGGCGCGCGGCCCCGGCGCGGCCCCGGCTCACTCCGCGCGCTTCCCGCAGGCGACGGCGCTGACGCAGGGCCGGAAGCGCGTCCCGGACCAGACGGGCTACCTGGTGATCTGCGACGGGGCGGT